TAAATTGTATAACCCATTATAATCTTCCATTGCGCCTTGAGTTTGGCTAGATCTTGATGGATTCTAAGAGATTGTAGGTCCTTCATTGATAACTTTTTTTTCAAGAATTTTAAGTCTACAGTATCTCCTTATAACATCTTCTGTTACAATGATTTCACACTTATTCATCGAAATTGAGTATTTATAATTTTTTTTTTCGCTTATTTTGTTTTTCACTTTTGCAAGGTTTCACAATGACAACATGCAAAAACTAATGGAAGATATGTCAGAAGAAGAGACAAAGAACTTTGAGATTGATATGGGAAAATAAATTGGAGGGATTACTTCTTGAAAATCCTGATTAATTCTTCTTTCCCTTGTTAATTTTTCTGTGGGTGCTTTCGCCCATTCATTTGTGGCGGTAGTCTTGGGACCCAACATTATGAGAGTTGAAACTACTATTATTATTAATTGTGTATGATTTCGAATATCATCTATGAGAACATCACATTAGGTATGCTTAAAGTGTCTACAACACATATGAGATATCTACATATTAGCTAAAGCATATGTAACGGTGTTTGGTCTTCTTTCTGGTCTTCTTCTTAGCATTCCTTGACCAAAAAACACATCTGTAAACAAAGCAGAAAGGCAGTTACATCAAGAAATCAACAAAGCTTCTAGAGAAATTTCATCATGAAAAAGAAAAGAGAAGGAAAAAGTCAACCAAAATATGATCAGAAAAGCACATTGACAACAGTAAATTAGCCTAAATAACACTTCCTAGCCTTTAGTCACGTCTTAATGGCATTATATGTTCGTCAGTCACTGGTCGGACACTACAAACTTTGAACTGTCGTTTGAAAACTATAAATACTCCATCCTTCAATCATCCAAACTTTACATCTAAACCTTTTCTACTCTTGTTCTTAAAAAATCTTTGCACTCTCTAACACTTGTATCCAGATTTCTTGAGGTTTTTGCAAGAACTCTCGCATGTCTTTACTCCAAACCATTAAGTGTAACTTTTTAACTTCCTCTTCTTCATCTTTATTCAAAAGTAAAACTGGTCGAAGACTTCCAAGACAGTTCCACAAAAAGAGCCTGCCTCTTCATCACGGCCGACCGGCGAGGAACCCAGCGGCGGAAGCTCTCTTGAAGCGTTTATCTCGGCGGTGCTCGACCGGTGCTGATTTCAANTTAGGAAACAATTCTTGTCCTTTTGAATAAGGTTATGAACTTGTGATTAATTCTTCTTTCCCTTGTTAATTTTTCTGTGGGTGCTTTCGCCCATTCATTTGTGGCGGTAGTCTTGGGACCCAACATTATGAGAGTTGAAACTACTATTATTATTAATTGTGTATGATTTCGAATATCATCTATGAGAACATCACATTAGGTATGCTTAAAGTGTCTACAACACATATGAGATATCTACATATTAGCTAAAGCATATGTAACGGTGTTTGGTCTTCTTTCTGGTCTTCTTCTTAGCATTCCTTGACCAAAAAACACATCTGTAAACAAAGCAGAAAGGCAGTTACATCAAGAAATCAACAAAGCTTCTAGAGAAATTTCATCATGAAAAAGAAAAGAGAAGGAAAAAGTCAACCAAAATATGATCAGAAAAGCACATTGACAACAGTAAATTAGCCTAAATAACACTTCCTAGCCTTTACCTAGTTAAGAGAAGCTGCATTTGTGCGGTTGAGAGAAACAGCCACTGCAAAAGAGTTTAGTACTAATTCCTAGTGAATTCTTAAACTTAAAACCTTACCAAAGAAGTGAAAGAATTCACAATTATTGCAAAACACTTAATTTGTTCAATGACCTCGACTCATTCCTTCCGATTGCTTAGAATTGCGAAGGTTAGTATATGTTGGGTTTTTTAGAAGATGGTGCAGCAAGAAAAGGTTGGAAGAATGATTTCAATTTTCTCTTTGGAGAGAGTCAGTTTATACAGCAGAAAGATAAAAAAATCCATAACCACACATCAATACAATCAAAAGGAAAAGCAGCTTCCTAAAGGATTAATGTGGGAATGCTCTCTTCAATCCTAATAATTAGATAACACAGTCTATACGAAAGAGACTGGCAAACAGGAAGACTCTGCCTTAGCTTTGAAGTTTTTTTGAGAAATAAAAATAAAATAACAACAGCATCAGAAATAAAAAAGTTGATGAAAGGCGCAAAATAACAGAAACGGATAAAACAAAGAAAGAAGAAAAAATCAGCGCCAATCACACGTACATAGTCCTAAAACACAGAGACGGAAATTGCAAAAGCCATATATATATATATATATATATATATATATATATATATATATATATATATATATATATATATATATATATATGATATTCCTGTGATAATTAGATGCTAAGCAAAAAGCATGTGAATGATGTTTTCTCACTTCCATTCCTTGGCATGTACGTATATATCTTCGGAGATATCAGTTTTGGTGTTCTCAGTTAGGTGCTTCAGAAAAACGGAGAAGTACAATGTACATCTTTCAGACAAGCTGAAGATCGTTTGCTCTTTATATGTGTAGCCTTGCATGTAATGGATATGAATTTCGAAATGATCAAGTTTTTCTTTCTCGAATAATAAAATGAGCGCAAGAGCTATGTACCATAAATCATACAGTACTTTTTTGCAGTTCACTCAAAAAGATGGAGCACAGAAAAATTAAAAATCAGAAAGCCAATAACGAAGCAAAGACGCTTTCAGCTAGCACTTCAGTGCCACTACAAAACCGGAAGAGAACTAATTTTAGTAGCTCAACCACCATACAAAAAGAGATTCAATAATGAAATATGACCCAGAAGATCTCACATAAACACACCAAAAAAAACAAAAACAAAAAAAAGAGAAGAGAAACCAGCAAGTGTGTCAAGATAGTGAATTACAAAAATTATATGGAAAACAAGAGCCATCACCGTCCACATATATCATCCTTTAATATCTATCCAGCATCAGCAATAGAGAATAGTTCAACAACTGGACCTTCCTTCATCGAAGTTACCTCTTATCATGATCATTTTGGCCAAATAAAACTCTCGTTCCCAAGAATTCTATTCTTAATAAGGGCACCATTAACTACATTATATGTAGAATGGTCATCATTAGCAGGTGGTCGAATTGTTGTTAGGTGTTTGCTATAATTTTCTTATCATATTTGGTTTTCCTATCTCTCGAAGGAAAAGGACAATATAATTATTTTAACTGGGTTTTCCTTTTTGTAAAAGGAAATTATAAATCTCCAATATTTGGCTAGTCCTCTTTCTTGTAGGAAAAGGTTTGGACTTCTATAAATTGAGGATCCTTCTTTCACATTCAGTAGCATCCACAATGTAGCCATGGGGGCTTGAGAGTCTTGTTTAGGGGGAGAACTTTACGGGACAAGTGTTAGTGTGTCACTTGTGTTTACCTCTTCGTGAGGTTGTTCTCTCGATATTTTGTACTCTCTTTTATTATAGTGGATTGCTCATCTCCGTTGTGGACGTAGGTCAGTTGACCGAACCACGTTAAAATATTTGTGTCTCTTTTGGTAGATTTCTCTTTGTTGTGTGATTTATCGTCGTTCAAGATTTGTTTTGCTAGCTTCCGCATGACACCTGACTTTTTCCGGTCCTAACAATTGCTTTATAACATAATTTGGTCTTTGTACTTTTTATAGCACAACATAAAGTGGAGCCTGTGAAAATTCAGGCTCGCGTGCAATGTACCAAATGATAGATATAGAAATAACGCACAAAAATTGACACATATATCTTTGTCCACTTTCTATGCTTAAACTACTGCTCTAACGGGTTAAGCTTTTTAGGAGACTTGTATACAGAGTAGTGAATAGAGCACAAGGCAATGCACTTTAAAAAAAATGGACTTGATTAAGAAATCATATTATCAAAATCACATTTTTTTTTCTTTTAAGTTATTTATATAGCCTAACGAAGAAGGTAACTTTGTATTTCAACTGAACAAAAGTAGATTGCAAGTGACAACCTCACGCCACGTTAATTTTCTGAGAAACAAATTTAATCTCTCGGGTTCACCTTTTTCTCCTCCATTCCCTGAAGAAGTTGTGAAAGCACTCCTGCGCTTTGTTCGACCTTTTGGATTGTGAGATTCAACTCATCTCTGAGCGTCAATCGTCTCTCGATAAGGCTCATATCAAGAGCTCGAATAGCCTGAATGAAATCACAGCAGCGTACATTCAGGAAAATCAAGCGCAAATCACATTGGTTGCTTTATATATCAAAATGTCATCACCAATAATTGGGTAAAACAAAGAAAGGAAGAAAGAGACAGAAGAAAAATTCAGCACAAATCACAGGTACAACAGAGGCCAAAAACACAAAGAGAGAAACTGCAAATGTAACATTCCTCAAATTTATAAAAAATTTCAAGACTCGCTAAATGTAGAATTTAATGTTTTTTTTAAATATTAATTTATGCTTTTATTACGGATTTAAACCCTTGTGATTTATTTTTGAGTTACTTTTCTATTGATAAAGAATTGGATATACAATTAGAGGAATATTAATAATTATAATATCAGCAATATTTAGTAATATTTAAAAGTGGGTATTATTAATTATTAGTTAAGGCAAAAACAAAACAAAAAGACAAAAATAATAAAACATAAAAATTGAAAAAAAAAAAAAAAAGAAGGCTTAAAGCCTTGGAAAGGGTAAGAAACGTGTTTCATTCAAAAAGTAAAGGCTTAAAGCCTTAAAGCAATACAGAACTAATGTTCTGTTTATTCACGCCAGCAGAGGCATAGAAAACGTTTAAAGCCTTACGAATAGAGTCAGCCAGAAATTGCTCATCACGTACCGAAAAATTCTAGGGTTATTAACAACTCACTTATTCATGAACTCAGGTATATAAAATTTTCTATTGTCAATTATCCTAAAGTAGTAATAGGAAAGAACTCAATAGTTATTCCCTTCTTTCTCTATATCGACAGTAAAGCTTCGTGTTTAGGTGCGAAACTTTAAAATTAATTAAAATGCACTGGTTGTTGTAGATTTCATTATTTGACTGTTGTCAATTGGACTGGGGCTACGTATTGGCTCGAGAAGTTTTGAGGTGAGTTGATATAACCTTTTACCAAAGTGGTTTAACTCACTAAAGCATGCATACAAGGTGTTTGATGAATTGCCTGAAAGAGTTAATATGTACTTAATTTGAGGAGGAAATGATCAAAATGGTCCTTAATGTATAGGTGTTGGACTATTTTGGTCCTTGATATATACCGCTTGACAGAAATAATCCTTAAGGTATATAAAAAATTGATCTTTTGGTTTTAAACCCTAAAACTAACCTTAAAATTCAAAAGCTCTGTTAAACTTAACCTAGATTTCTAAAAAGTGAAGCAACCCTTTCCCTCATCTTCTCTCTTACATCGGTCTCAGACATCACCCTCCATTTTCTCCCTGGAAAAGAATCACCAGCAACATATTCTTTCATGGAAAACAACACACTCACTTTTTATCTCTTCCTGAAGAACGATTCCAGTAGCTCTGATTAATAAAAAAAAGGCACTCATTAAAACAGGTGCAAAAAGTGCTCCTTTATAATTTTGGTCTTCATGATTTGAGATAGTTTCCTTCTCCAATCAAGAGCTTAGCAGATAGAGAAGCTCACTCATTTCAAAAGCTCGCGATGAAAATTTTTCAGAAGCTTGAACTGAAAATATTTTCTTTGCATTAGTAGAAATAGAGATCAAACTAGAGAGGAGAGTAAACTTAATTACAGGTAACTTGTAGAGTACAACTTTTCTGATCTCTCTTTCCTCCTTTCTTGTTTCACTTTCTACCCATAATTTTTATCTTTTGTTATTGAATTAAGCCTACAGTTCCAATGGGATTGCCAAAAAACAACTCTTTTAATGAAACTCTATGTGGAAAGGTCATGCTTTCTTCCTCTCTAGTTTCTAAAGGAGTAATATAGATTTCCCCTTTTCTGTTAATTTCAATGTTCAAATACTAGGGTTGAAACTAAACCGATAGAGGTAAAAAATAGACTACTTGAGTTACTTTTTACATTAATGAAGTAAGGGAATTGTGGAAGAAATGGCCAACGAGAGAGAAGATGAGGGGGAAGGGGCCTACGGTCTACAAGACTTCACTTTTGAGGAATCAAGATTAAATTTAACAGAATTTTTATTTGAACCGTTAGGTTTTTGGGTTTAAGACCAAACTGAACATATTTTCATATACAGTAAGGACTATTTCTATCAAGTGATATATATCAAGGACCAAAATAGTCCGACCCCTATTCATTAGGGACCATTTTGATCATTTCCTCTAATTTGAGCGAGTATAGTTGCTCGTTTCTCTCTTCAATGCTTCTAACAAAAAGATGGTTAAATACTTTAGTAACAACCATTACTGAACAAGTTGCCTCTTGATTTGGCTAGCAATTGAATTATAATATAAATAAACTTAACGAGCAAATTTGCCATAGAGGACTAGCTCCATTTACTTCACAAAGCATAATCTAAAGGTTTGTTGAATGCTATTAAGAAGTCTCGTGGTTAAGATCCAAAGTTATCTCTATTTTTGACCTTACCATTTAAGTACAAATCTTTTTAAGCTCCTGTCATAATCCCTGTGCACTTGAGATTTGAAAATATATTAACTTAGAAGTGTTCGGGCTAAAGTTTAGATAATTTATTATGATATATGTGCATAAATTTTCAGATTTTATGTTATTCTTAAATGCCATTTTCATGTTGAAAATTCATGAAGGATCAAGAATCTTTATAAATACTTTTGAATGTTTATTTCATTCTTATGCCATGCCCTACATTTAAGGATACCAGTATAAGTATGTATAAAAGATTTAGACTTGAAAAGTCACAAGAAGAAGTTTTAGAAAGAAAAGATTTTTGGGAGTATCCTTTATTCTAAGAAGGGGTCATCGTCCAGGCCGAGGGTCCTGACCAAGGCGTTGACTTCCTGAAACTACTTGTGCCAAAGTAGGGAGCACACAAGCCGAGGGTCTCGTTGCTAAGAATTTACTTAGCCATGCTAAGGTATGAGACATGAGCGCTGAGAACCATGAAGCGAGTGGCACCTCGTGGATTGGGCCTATTCGATCAGGTTGGGATCGAACCCGTGCCGATCACACGGTGACTGAGACAGAATTAAGTCAAGATAGTTGGAACTCCCAAAGTATAAAGTGAAGTATTTTTTTTTTTTTAGAAAGAAAATGAAAAGAGTTTCTTTTAGAATATTCATAAACTGCTATTATGCAACTATTTAGAATTATTCTTATAAGTTTCTTTTAGAATATTCATAAACTGCTATTATGCAACTATTTAGAATTATTCTTATAAGCTTTATGTTTTACATGCATTTAGAACCTTTGCTCATATTGTATATGTTATTAATGTTTCACCCCCTGTTGTTGAGACTCACTGGGTACAATGGATGATACTGACGTTCTCTTTTGGGAACTTACGTTGGTTTGCGGTATAATAAAGGAACTGGATTTGCAGGCGAGCAGGCTACGAGTTAGGACTTCCTTCTCTTCCAGTGCTATTGGTGAGCTCCGCTTTTGTTCGTGGAGTATTCCTTAGAGTCATCTTTATTTAGTTATTTCTTTGTTACTTAGAGAACTAGCCATGAAATCCCATGTCCTGAGCAATGCGTCAGTTTATCAGTAGAGGCTTCATAGACATAGTCGTTGGGTTAAGATTCAGATATTTTTGATAATAACTTAGCAGTATTTTATTGGTTACTATGAATAAAATTTTGGAGTTGATTTATTTAAATGTTTAAATTAATCAAAAGTATTTGGTTAGAGTATTGCATTGTTGCATGTAAAGTTTGGAGTTATAATAGATTTGATAAGCAGATATGGTTCGCTCGGTCATGTTTAGTGATCGAGTGCCGATCCCGGCTTGTTCAGAAAATGGGTCGTGACAAACATGGTATCAGAGCCTCAGGTTTATGGAGTCCTAGGGGTCTATGAAGCCGTGTTAGTAGTGTCTTGTTTATGTATATGAAGCGCGCCATACTTATAAACAGGAGGCTACAAGCATTTAGGAAAAGTCTCATTTTTTTTCATACTTTAGATCGTGCTGTAGATCCTACCTCTAAGAAACTATCTAATGTATTCATTTCTTTAAAACTCGCAGAAATAGCTCGTACTCACAACTCTGACACCGACACTCAAGATGCTGCTCAAGAAACTATTGCTACTATTGTGGCCCAAGGCAGAACTAAAAAGGCTTCAACCCAGAAAAGGAAGAGTAAATCCACAAAGGGGGTTCAAGTACCCCGGGTTGAACATGAAGAAGGGGTAGAGCATAATGATCCAGTACCTCAGGATCCAGTACCGCCCCCAACAGCAGCTTCGGCTCAGGCAACTATATCTCCCGAGGTAGGTCAGATGTTTAATGCTGTCAATAGCGCTATGGAGATGTTTAAAGTCTTCATGGCGAACCAGAACGAGAGAAGAGATGAGATTCCACCTAAATCAAATAGACAGAACAATTCTGAGTCCTCAAGAGTGAATGAATTTTTGAAGTTGAGTCCTCCAGTGTTCCCGGGTTCTCTAGTTGATGAAGATCCGATGTTGTGGCTAGAGGGTGTCAAGAAAGCTCCCCGAGTGATGAAAGCATTTGATGATGAAGCTGTGGAGCTAGCTGCTTACCAGCTTAGAGATGTGGTCGGCGCTTGGTTTGAGATGTGGGAAAAGGAAAGAGATGAAGATGATGGTCTGCCTACTTGGGAAGAATTTGAAGAGGCCTTCATGGCTAACATTATCCCAGAAGAGGATAGGGAAGCTAAGGCTACAGAGTTCGAACAACTCAAGCAAGGGAATAAAAGTGTGCAAGAGTACTACATAGAATTCATAAGGTTAGCTAAGCATGCCCCTCACATGGTTAAGACTGAAAAATCAAAGATTCGCAGGTTTGTTGGCGGTTTAGCTTACCACATTAAGGATACGACATCAGCTGCAGCAATAGGAATGAAAGCCTTCTCCTCTGTTGTGGGATTTGCCAAGCACTTAGAAAAAGACAGACAACTAAGGAGAGAAGAAAAAGAGCATAACAAGAAAGCCCGGACAACGGGAAGGTTTAATGGTACATCCATCGGAGGTGGAAGGGATTCCTCTAATAAGGAGTCAGTAGCACCAATTCAGTCCAGTCATCAGTCAGGTGGTGGGTCTTCCTTCAGACGTACTCAGAGTTATGGAAATCAGTCTCGCCAGAATCAGAATTTTAGGACATCATCCTCACATAGCCAGAGTCAGGCTGAGCAACATTCACACAAACAAGGTCTTTGTGGAACATGTAAGTGGCAACATTCTGGTCAGTGCAAGCTCGGGTTTCATGGTTGCTATCATTGTGGAGACATTAGTCATATAAAGGCCAACTGCCCAAAGTTGCAACGAAATTTCAGTGGTGGATCAACTCGTCCTTCTAGTTCCTCAGCTACTGCAGTTGCACCATCCCAGGGTCGTGGTTCTCATAATCAGGCCGGGCATGGGGTAGGCAGAGGTGTAGATCGAGTTACTCAGGGAGGGGGACAATCCCGTTTGTTTGCTACACTTGATCGTCAGAGTGCATAGGCATCTGTAGAAGTTATTACAGGTATACTTTTAGTCTGCTCACATAATGCTTATGCCATAATGGATCCAGGTTCAACGTTT